AGTTTTTCCTTTCCCCTTCCCCTTCCACTTCCCCTACCCCTTTGGACCTTTTCTTCCTATTTCAAATTATCAATTATTCATTTTAATCCTTATTTACACTTTCAGTTTCTCACACCAGAGAAACTATTCGGTATTAACATGTTACACCTTCTTTTTTTAACGGCCTCTTACATTGTTACGTACTTCCAAAATTAAAGTCAACATATGAATTTAAATGTATGAAATTAAATACAAAATTAAACATGTGTGAGGAAATGGGTTTTTCATATGCCGCTACACTCTTCCCAAACTCTAAATTAACCTTTCAAAAGATAACTAGCCAATGCACCACACCTTTAAAAGCTCATGAGCTTTTTTAAAGAGAGGGAATAGGACCTCACTGCACTGCCCAGGCTGGAGTGTGGGGACTATTCACAGGTGCAATCACACTACTGATCAATACATGCAACCTAGTGGTGTCCTACTTCATGTGATGGTCACCATGTGACAGCACCAGTGTATGGACACCCAATCAACATAGAGTACTATAGCCTGAATTCTTGTGATCCTCCAGTAGCTGAGACCACAAACACATGGCACTAAATACTGATGTTCGTGTTCTTTAACCCATATATTCCACTTCTAAGAAGTTATCCTAAAAATTAAGGACAGAAAACTTTACTTCTTAGAAGTTCTTCACACTTTACAAACTACAAAACAAAAAGTCCATATGTCAACAGTAAAGAACAAATGATATATCTACCAAATGGAATTCCATGCATTTATATGAAAGATTCTATAGAAAAATGTTATTAAAATATTTAAATATATGATGAAATATCAGCCTAACAACTTACATGTCATGATTTAACTTTTATAAAAATAGCATTATTGATACTTTAAAATATTTCTACATAGCAGAAGAAAAAGACTATCCACAAAAATATTAACAATGGTCATCTTTAGGTAGTGTAATTGGTGAGGGCAGTTACTTTTAATTTTCTTTTATCTGCTAGGCTAAATTTGCTGAAATGAGCATTATCACTGTCAAAAGAAAACTAAAATGATTAAAAAATAATAACTGTAACCTACCAATGTTTCTTCTGTTATTCAAGTAGACAGAAGCTGGGCACAGTGACACACGCCTGTAATCCCAGCACTCAGGAGGCTAAGGCAGAAGGATCACCTTGAGTTCATCGCCAACCCGGTGAGTTTAAGGCCAGCCTGAACTACATAGCAAGACCCTGTCTCAAAAAGCAAACAGGGGGACCGGGGATTTAGCTCAGTGGTTTTACCACTTGCTATGGCAGGCGCAAGGACCCCAGTTTGATCCCCGGTACCAAAAAAAAAAAAAAAAAGGAAACAATGTGGCTCAGCTGCACAGGCCCTGGCAAGTGCAAGGTCCTGAGTTCGATTCCTGGTACCCAAAAAAAATGAAGTACATAGAAGCTTTTCTTTAAAAATGAATGCTCTGGGGCTGGGGATTTAGCTCAGTTGTTCTGCCGCCAAGGACCCGAGTTCAATCCCCAGTACCAAGAAGAAAAAAAACAAATGAATGCTCTGAATACTTTGAGTCTTTTTAAAAGTTTGTACAACAAATTCTATACTGTGTATATACACAGCACAATTTCCTGCCTTAATTCACATCTCCCAATTTTAAATTCATGGGTCTCATATCTTCCACATTTCAGATTCTACAAAACGGTCTTATTTTTCCCATAAAAGAGTAACTTTTGCCTTTGAATTTTAAATCAACAGTCCCCTTTGAAAGGTCTCCAATCTATTTCTCCACTAGATGGAAACATTGTTCCTTTAAAAGAAAAATCACATCAAGACCCACTAGAGTATGAATAACTAGTTTCAATTCATTTTGAGTAAGAATGTGTACTTGTACATGGGGTGGCTATTTTGAGAGTTCTTGAAAAATTAAGTATATCGATTCAATCTGCAACACCTTTATATAAAACAAATGGTATTCCTTCTAGAGAACGTGGCATTCCTTCAATCGTGGTTGTTTTTGTTTTTAAGATTACCAAAAGAGGACTGGGTATGTAGCTCAGTGGTTCCACCACCTGCCTCACAAGCTAAGGACCCGAGTTCAATCCCCGGGTACCAAAAAAAAAAAAAAATTACCAAAAGAAAGACAAAATATTTATTTTAAGATCTAACAATTATGGAAAACCTAAATAATGGGAATTAGGCCCTTTCGGGGTCTTCTGGGATATCAGAAGCTCCATCCTCAGAAGTTGCTCGATGCTTCTCCAGCTTAGCAATCAATTCTTTAGCAGGATTAAAGACACCGTTTGTCTGCTGGTCACAGACATAGCAGCGCGAGGTGGTGCGGAAATGCTGCAGTGCACAGCTCTCGCAGAAATAATGCTTGCACTTGGTAACAACTGGGTTTTTAAAGGTCTGGCGGCAGATAAAACACTTGAACGGTATTTCCTCATCATCGCTTCCCACTTCAAAGTTTTCGTCCTCACAAACACCATAGCGACCCTCATCAAGCTCACGTTCGATCTGCCATCCGTGCTTGTAATCTGAACGGTCATGGAGGAATTTGCAGCTATCTCCGAACCCGCAGAAGCCAGTCTCCTTGTAGTCCTTACAGATGTCAGGCTGGTAATCCCAGCGCACGGTGGCCCGTAGATGCTCAGGTGCTCGGATGGGTCCCTTCCTCACCATCCCGGAGGAGGCATTGCCCATAGACGTATCCTTGGGTTTCATATATTTCTGGTAATTATTGATTCCCCGATAAATCTTGTCATCTTTCTTGCCTCTCAGGTCTTCCTGAATCTTCTGGCTGCGCTCAAAGATGGCTTGTGCATCTCGCTCCTTCTCCGTGTCCAGCTCATAGACTGCTGTGGCCCCCATATCCTCTGGCCCCACAGGTTTCGCTGAACGGGTGGACTTGTAGACCACGCCCAAACTCTCACTCTCCTCTTCCTCGCTACTCAGATAACCATAAGCCGCCTTCCCTTTACCGCTGCCACAGGTCTTCTGGATCATCGGATTGTGGGTCGCCCGCTTCTTCTCTGGTCGAACCACAGTGCTGCCTTCATCACCACTGCTGCTGCTTTCTCCGGTCTCCAGGTCACACACTGGGCGCTTTCGGCTGCCTGCAGGCCCTTTCCGCCTGGGCTTTTTGAAGAGAAAGGTGCACACCTGGTCAGCCGACTTTGAAGGAGTCTGTTGCTCGGCCATATTGGAGCCCCAAGTGCCTCAACTGGGGCGCAGCGATGGGTGGCGCGGAGCCTTTTACGTCATCACGCTTCCGCTACGCGCTGCGCCGGAGGCTGACCACGAGAAAGCCAGTGCGCAGGCGCCAGCATCCCCATTGTGGTTTCATGGAAAAAAGGGTTTATAGAACTTTGGTGTGTGTCTTGTATTTTGTCAATACAAAGACGACGCTGTGCCTCAAAGAATTTACAATCTTTGGGTCGGGGATTTAGCGCAGTGGTTTCGCTGCCGGTTGCGCATGTGCAAGGACCCGAGTTCGATCCCCGGTACCAAAAAAAAGAATTTACCATCTAGTAGAGGGTAAGACAAATAAATATGTAGTATGGCCTAAGTAGTATTTTAAAAAGACAGTAAAAGGGCCGGGGATTTAGGTCTGCGGTTCCACCTCCTGCCTGCAAGTGCAAGGACCCGAGTTCGATCCCCGGTACCAAAAAAAAAAGCAAATGCCGTGGAAAGGTACGGAAAATTCTTACCTTTTTTTTTTTTTCGGAAAATTCTTACTTTTAAACACAGGACTCTTTTTTTTTTTTTTTTTGGTACCGGGGATCGAACTCGGGTCCTAGCGCTTGCGCAGCAGGCGGCGAAACCACTGAGCTAAATCCCCAGCCCTAAACAGGACTCCTAAGTCTCACGGCGAACATGCATTTGAGCTGAGCCTTTGAAGGTCATGTAAAATTTTAATGAACAAAGAACTATCAGAAATATATTCCAGTCGGGCGTGGCGGTGCACGCCTGTAATTCCAGCACTTGGAAGGATGAGGCAGGAGGATCGCTATGATTTCCAGGCCAGCCTGGGGTACATAGTGAGTTCAAGGCCAGCCTAAACTATATAGAAAGACTGTCTCAAAAAAAAAATATCATATTTTTAAAAATGTGTTAACACAGTGGTCAGTTACCTCTTCCCAGTTCCAGCGTGTCTGCTCCCTCACCCTCCTTGCCTCACCCTTCTTTCCTACTTGGCTGATGTTTTAAAGTTTGCCCTTCCCTAAATTTGGATTTTTATTACAGATCTAAAGCTCTTTCAATTTTATACTGATTAAATCAGTCCTGTTGTATCTGATTTTAAAAAGTGTCAATAGGGCCAGAGATTTAGCTCAGTGGCACCGTGCCTGCCTCGAAAGAACAAGATCCTGAGTTCGATCCCTAGTACCAAAAAAAAGTGTCAACAAAGGGGGTGGGGCGGGGAACCTTAAGATATAAGTGAATATCCAGTTTGGGTGAATTAAAAGGAGTGTTTGTGCAGAGTGGTGTAGCAAAAGGAGATAGTACTAGGTAAGTTAGGGTCTTTAACACTATTGTGTCAGGACAGTCTTCCGTTTAGGATGGAGAAATTCCAAAGATTTTTGGGGAGATGGTAATACTGGGGAATGAATTGAGGGCCTTCACACACAGCTAAATCCCCAGCCCTTTTAATTTTTTTATTCTGAGATAGGGTCTTCCTAAATTGCCCAGGCTGGGCAACTTTTTTGTTTTTGTTATTGAGACAAGGTCTCACTATGTAGGCTGGCCTTGAACTCACTGTGTAGCCCAGGATGGCTTTGAACTGCAGATCCGCCTGTCTCAACTGAGTGCTGGGATTACATACTTATGCAATACCACACCTAGCTGGGCTTGAACTTTCAATTCTCCTGTCTCAGCCTCCCAAGGTGCTCGGATTACAAGCATGTACTACCACACGCAGCTCCCAAAGATAATTCTTTTTTAAAAAATAAATTTTATTTTGTTCCCTGCCCTCATCTCCCTCCCCTCCCTATGTACAAAAGCTTTGTTTCCATTTTTCCTTCTATATTTAGATCTTTGAACCATTTCAATTTTACCATAGTGTGTGGTGAAAGATACGGGTCTAGTTTCAATCTTCAGCATGTGGAAAGCCAGTTTTGCCAGCACCATCTATTATAGAGGCTATCTTTCTTCCAGTGAAGGTGTTTGGCTCCTTTGTCAAAGATAAGGTGGTTGAGTATGTCTGGAGTTGCTTCTGCATCCTCTAGTCTGTTCCATTGATCCTCAGGTCTGTTCTTTTGCCAGTACCATGCTATTTTTATCACCATAGCTTTGTAGTACAATTTAAAGTCAGGTAGGGCCAGAGATTTAGCTCAGTGGTTTCACGGCCTGCTTCGCAAGCACAAGGACCCAAGTTCGATTCCCGGTACCAAATAAATAAATAGATAAATAAATAAATAAATAAACATAAAGTCAGGGATTATGATACCCCTGCTTTGCCTTTGTTTCCCAGAATTGCCTTTGCTATTCTAGGTCTCTTCTGGTTCCAAATGAATTTTAGGATTGTTTTTTCTAATTCTGTGAGATATGCTGCTGGGATTTTGATTGGGATTGCACTGAATCTGTATAACAATTTTGGAAGATGGCCATTTTCACTATATGGGTTCTTCCTATCCAAGAACAGGGATAGCTTTCCATTTTCTGATATCCTCTTCAATCTCCTTTTTCAGAGTACTATAGTTTTCAATGTAGAGGTCTTTTACTCCCTCTGACCAACTGATTCCTTGGCATTTTATTTTTTTGGATGCTATTGTGAAAGGATTGTTTCTCTAATTTCTCTCTCCGTGAGTCTGCTATTCATGTACAGGAAGGCTATTGATTTTTGAGTGTTGACTGTATCCAGCTATACCACTGAATTTGCTTATCAAAGTTAAAAATCTTTTGGTGGAGTTTTTGGGGTCTTCTACATGGAGTATCATTGTCATCCACAAAAAATGATAATTTTTTTAACTTCTTCCTTTCTTAACCTTATCCCTTTTATTTCTTTCTCTTGTCTAATTGCTGTGGCTATTGTTTCCAGAACTATATTGAACAAGAGTGGTAACAAAAGACATCTTTGTCTTGTTCCTGATTTTAGAGTGAAAACTTTCAAGTTTTGTCCATTTAGTATAATGTTGGCTGTTGGTTTCTTGTAGATGGCTTTTATCAGATTGAGATAAGGACCATCTATACCAATTTTCTGTAGGGTTTTTATCATGAATTGGTGTTGGACCTTGTCAAATGTTTTTTCTGCATCTATTGAGAGGATCATATAGTTTTTGTCCTTGGCTCTGTTAATATAGTATATTACATTTATTGATTTGCCTATGTTGAACCATCCCTGCGATGAATCCAACTTGGTCATGGTATATAACCTTCTTGATGATTTGCTACATTCTGTTTGCCACAGATAATTCTTGAAGGAGGTGATCCAGAACACCTGTGATATTTTAAGGTTACTCTTGCAGCAGTATATACTTTGGACTGCAGTGGTATGATGATTTTAAAATATATCCACAATTCTTTGCCACTCTTCTCTTCAAATGATGGAACCTAATTCCCTGCCCTTATAATGTGGGCCACACTTAGGTTGCACTTCTAATTAACAAAATAAGGCAAAAGTGATACTGTGTGACTTGCAAGGGTAGGGTATGTGACTTGGGAAGGAAGGAAAGAAAGGAGGGAGGGAGGGGAAGAAAAAGAAAGAAAAGAGGAAGAAGAAAGACAAAAAGAGGGGGGAAGGAAAGGAGAGGAAAGAAAGAAAAGAAAAGAGAAAGGGGGAGGGAAGGCAGGCAGGCTTCTGGCTGGCTGCCTAGGTAATCTGAGATTACCACTAATCTCAGAATACTCAAGCATTTTATGGAGAGGCTAAGGCTTCCTAATCACCTCCACCAACCTGACAGCCATGTAAGTTTTACCTTGGAAGTGGATCCTCAGTCTTCAGTCAAATGTTTAGATCACAGTATCCCTGGCTATAATACTTTAAAAAAAAATTTTTTTTGGTACAGGGGATCAAACTCAGGACCTTTCCCTTATGAGGCAGGCAGCGGAACCACTGAGCTAAATCCCCGGGCCCCCACTATAATATTTACACCATGGAAATTAACAAATGTTATAAATCAGGACTTTTTTTTAGAGAGCTGCGCATCACTGTTTATATCATTCTCACTCTATGATGTGTACTATTTTAAGCACTTTACATATTATTATTTCATGTAATCCTACAACAACCCTATAAGACAGTAATTCTTATGCTCATTTTACAGATGAAGAAAAGTAACTTTGCCTTCACTCATAGAGCTGATTTTGGCTAACAGTGTAATTTATTACATTATCACTAATGCAATAAAATTATATTCTGAGCTGAAGGAATGGAAAGCAAAAGAAAGCATAGCAAGGTCAAAGAAATTCTCTGAAAGTACTTAGTATTCCTTGCCCTGTGTACCCCTATCCAAAAAGCTGTCTAAATTTTTCTAAAATTATCATTCATCATCCTAACTATATTTTCTCTAAGAACTTTCTTAACTGTCTTAGATTTATCAAATCTCTTTTAAGAAAAAAGAAAAGAAAAGAATGAATCTAACTTACATCATCTAATTCTTTCTCCACTTGGATTTTTCTCTTCTGGAATTGTTTTATTGTTTTCAGCTCTGTCTGAATCATGCCAATTTCTTTGGCTTTTTGATGGAACTGTCCCTCCAGCTCACTTATTTGCAGAGCATACTTTTGTTCCTGTATTCAAAAAAGAAGTAAATAGTTAGGAGAAACAAGTTCCACAGAATCATATTCTATTTGAAGCCCTGAGCCATTTGTATATAACTTCTTTAAAGAAATGTCCTATTTTTTTCCCATAAAGTTCAAATTTCTATAAAATGATAACAGCTTCATTGAATTTAAAAAAAAAATCTGGACAGCACTTAGGGTGGCTGAGGCAGGAAGATCACAAGTTAAAGTCCTACCCAGGCAACTTATTGAGATCCTGTCTCCAAATAAAAAATAAAAGGGCTGGGGCCAAGGATTTAACTCAGTGGCGCTGTGCCTGCCTTGCAAGCCCAAGATCCTGAGTTCGATCCCTGGTACCTAAACAAACAAACAAATAAATAAATAAATAAAAGGGCTGGGGATGTTGCTCAGTGGTACGACACTCCTGGCTTTGATCTCCAGTACCGCCCCCAAAAGAATTCCTGGAAAAATTTCTGTGTAAGCTGGTCTTGTATAGAAAAGCAAGAAAATGAAGATAAAAAGCATCACTTAGTGGCAGAGCACTTGCGTAGCATGTGCAAAGCTTTCTGTTCAATCCTCTGTGCTACCAAGAAAAACCAAACAAACAACACAGGGAGAGGGGGTTGTATGAGAAGACTAAAAAAAACCTTTAATCTGTAAGAAGGATAAATGACGAGTTATCCAAGTTAAAATTAGTAAACTAGGGGACAAAGGGAGGGTAAGTATTCCTAATAAACAACAAAAAAATGATTGAAGGGGAAAGAAGAGAGAGGAAAAGGAGAAAGAAAATAATGAGGGAAGTAAAGGAAGAAGATAGAAAAGGAGGGAAAAGGAGGTGAAAAGGACCAAATACACAATAAAAAATGAACAAAAGGGCCAGGGATTTAGCTCAGTGGCACCGGTGCCTGCCTCAAAAGTGCAGGGTTGTTAGTTCGATCCCCCCCAAGAAAAAACAAAAACAGGGGCTGGGGATTTAGCTCAGTGGTTCCAGCTCAAAAGCTCAAGGTCCAGAGTTCGATCCCTGGTACCAAAAAAAAAAAAAACCCACAAAAGATATTAACAGAAGTGTAAATGGCTCTCAAACATATAAAAAATACTCAACCTAGCTCATAAGAAGAGAAATGAAAACCAAAACTACACTGAAAAGCCATTTTCGTTCTATTACAAATTATCAAGTTTGACAATATGCTCTATTGGTAAAGCTATGTGGAAATAGGCAGTCTGGTGTAATTAGTGGTATTACAAAATACCTATACAAGGACATTTGCCAATATCTATAAAAATCATATATTTTCTTTGACCTAGCAAAATCATTCTTGGAATATATTCCAAAGACATAGTGGTCAAAATGTGAAAAGATGTGATCACAGGATTCTTTATTGGAGCACTAACTGTAATAACAAAAGACTAGAAACAAAACAACTATCTACTGAAAGGAGACTTCTATGGGCTGAGTGTTAGTGTCCCCCTAAAAAAAATCATACATTGGGCCGGGGATTTAGCTCAGTGGTTCCACCGCCTACCTCGAAATGTCAACGACCGGAGTTCAATCCCCAGTACCAAAAAAAAAAAGAAAAGAACAACAACAACAAAAAATCATACATTAAAGCCCTAATCGCTAATGGGATGCACATGGAGGTATGGCCTTTAGGTGATTAGCTTTAGATGTGGTCAAGAGGGTGGCAACTTCATGTGGGGACTAATACCTTTACAGAAGATGAAGTTGCCTACAAGTTTCTCTCTCACCCTGTGAAACTACAACAAAAAGGCAGCTGTCGCTGGGGATTTAGCTCAGTGGTTCCGCCACCTGCCTTGCAAGTGCAAGGTCCCAAGTTTGATCCCCAGTACCAAAAAAAAAAAAAAAAGAATCTAAGAAGGCAGCTGTCTGTAAACCAGGAGGAGGACCCTCACGAAACACTTAATCATGTTAGTGCTCTGACTTTAGACTTCGAGCCATCAGAACTGTGGGAAACAATTGTTTTAAGCTACCCAATCTATTCTGTCACAGAAGCCCATCCGACTAAGACAGAGACCATATGAATAAAATATGCTATATCCACACAATGACAATACAGCTATAAAAAAGAATGCAGAACTATCATATACATATACATATTGCTATGGAGTAATCTCCAAAAAATATTGTTAATGTGGAAAAAAAAGGATACAGTTCTTTGTATTCTATATGCTACCTTCTATGTGAGAAAGAGGAGACAATATATATTTCTTTATACTTATTACAAACATATAAGTAAATATATATGTTTTAATGAACAAATATGCCATAAATAAAAATGACTACTATGGAAAATACATGGATAGAGGTTAAATTTCTCAACATATACCTTGTTTCATAGTCTTGATTTTGGAACCATGTAAATATTTTACATAAATGTAATAATTGTAAAATTTTACATGCAAAGTCAATTTTTATTTTTTTGTACCAGGGATCGAACTTGGGACCTTGCACTTTTGAGGCAGGCAGTGGCACCACTGAGCTAAATCCCTGGCCCAGAAAAATCAAATTTTTAAAAAGCAAACTCTAGGATGGGTTTGTAGCTTGGTGATAGAGTGCATGTTTAGCACAGACAAGGCCCAGGGTTTAATCCCCAGCGCTAATTTAAAAAAGAAAAACCAACTTCTAAAACTCAAAAGCAAAATCCATTGTTGAGTCAGTTCACAACCTCATTGAAAGAATTTTTATGTGTGTGGTACTGAGGATTGAACCTAGGATCTTCATACTAAGCTACATCCCAGTCCCCCAGTCCCTCCTTAAAATTAATTTTTAATTTTAAGACAGGGTCTCACTAAGTCACAAAATTGCCCACACAGGGCTCAAATTTGCAATCCTTGGGGAAGGAGGGAGGGGAAAAAAGAAAAAATGCAGCCAGGAGGGAAGGGAGGAGAAGGGGCTATAAAAAAATGAAGATGTGCTATGTACATGTACCAACTCTTCATAATGAATGTAATCATTATGTACCACAAACATGTACTAATAAAAAATTTTGAGGGCCAGGGATTTAGCTCAATGGCATCGCACCTGCCTGGCAAGTGCAAGGTCCTGAGTTCGATCCCCAGTTCCAAAAAAAAAATTTTTTTTGAAATGCTTAGCCTCCCAGAATGCTGAAATTATAGGTGTGTGTCACCACCCCCAGCTCCTTTTCACTTATTGGGTCTTAAATACGTGAGCTCACTAAAGACCTGCAACCAAGTGAGTGAAGTATTATTATACACACATACCAGTTTTTCCTTCTCCACTTGGGCTTTTTCCTTTGTTTCAACCAACTGCTGTTTCAGTTTTTCAATCTGTAGATAAAAACAGAGTCAGAAAGGCAAAGAAATTGCTCTGTGTCTTACCTTTATTCATAAGTTTTAGTGTTTTACATAACACTAAAACCTTTAATGTAGGAAAGAAAGTGAGGTAGGAAGAGGAGGGGACAGAATTTCCCTATATGGTTAATCTGCTATTGCCAGTTTCCAAAAACCTAGCCACCAACAGAATTATCTGGATAGTTTTTTTTGGTTTTTGGGGGGGTGTTTTTTGGTACCAGGAATTGAACTCAGGACCTTGCACTTGTGAGACAGGCGGTGGCACCACTGAGCTAAATCCCTGGCTATCTGGATAGTTTTTGTTTGTTTGTTTGTTTGTTTAAATTGTGGTTAAGGGTCAGGGATTTAGCTCAGTGGTTTCGAAGCCTGCTTCGAAAGCACAAGGACCCCGAGTTCGATCCCCAGTACCAAAAAAAAAAAAAAAAAGATAAAAATTGTGGTAAAAAGCACATCTGGGCATATTAGTGTATGCCTGTAATCCTAGCGCTTGGGAGGCTGAGGCAGGAGGATGGCCATGAGTTCAAGGCCAGTCTGGACTACATAGTGAGACCCTGTCTCAAAAACACAAAAAACAAAACAAAACAAAAAAACCATTAACATTAAATTTACTATCTTAACCATGTTTAAGTGCACAGTTTAGTAGTGTTAATTATATTTACATTGCTGTGCAAAAGATCCCTAGAACTTTTCATCCTTTCCTCCTTCCCAGCCCTTGGCAACCACCTCTTTGTTTAAATTTTGCAAGATGAAAAGTTTGTTTCTATAATTTTGACTACTTTATGTACTTTAAATGAGTGGAATTTTATAATGTTCGATCTCTTGTTTCTGGCTTATTTCATTTAGTGTAATATTCTTGAGGTTCACTCTTTTGTAGCATGTGACAGGATTTCCTTTTTAAGGCTACATAATATTCAAATATATATACCATATTTTCTTTATCCATTCATTTGTCAATAGATGTTTAAGTTGCTTCCATCTATTGCCATCTCTTAGTTATTATGTTTGTTTGTTTGTTTGTTTTTTTGGTACCCAAGATTGAACTCGGAACCTTGCACTTGAGAGGTGGGTGCCAGAACCACTGAGCTAAATCCCCGGCCCATCTCTTGGTTATTATGAATAATGCTTCAAGGAACTTGGGTGTTTAAATATCTCTTTGAGATCTTGTTTTGAATTCTTTTGGGTTGGTAATTCCGTTTGTTTGTTTGTTTGTTTGAGATAGGGTCTCTCAATGTAGTTCAGACTGGCCTTGAACTTACTATGTAGCCCAGGCTGGCCTCAAACTTGAAGCAGTCCTTCTGCTCAGCCTCTCAAGTGGAGATTAGTAATTCTACTTTTAATTTTTTGAGGAAATTTCACACTCTTTCCCATAAAGGCTATAACATTTTACATTCCCACCAACAGTGCACAGTCTAGTTTTTCTATATCCCCATCAACTCTTGTTATTTTCTCTCTTTTGTAATAGTAGTACCTTAATGAGTATGAGATGATTTGTATTTCTCCTATCTGGGTCTGTCCCTCCCCATATAGATAGATATAGATATAAATTGATCTATCTACATGCACACATGCACGCGCACACGCACACACACACACACTTTTTTTTCTGAACCATGTGAGGTAAGCTTCTGATAGCATGCCCCTTGCCTCTAAATACTTCAGTATGTATTTCCTAAAATGCCATTATCTTTTATAATCACAGCAATTATCAAAATTGAGAAATTCAGCATTGATATAATACTATTAATCTAAGATGACTCCTGTGTCCTTTAAAATTTTTTACTTTATGAAACAGTAAGATAATCCTGGTGTATCTTTTTTTTTTTTTTTTTCTGGTACCAGGGATTAAACTCAGGACCTTGCAGTTGCAAGGCAGGCGCAGTGCCACTGAGCTAAATCCCCAGCTGGCATATCTTTTATATATCCTGTCCCAGTCCTGGAATCAACAATTGCTCTAATCAATTCCAAGCATTTCTCTAAGGAATGCTGACTCATTTTAGTAGGCAACCCGAGTAGCTTTTTATTTTTTTATTTTTTATTTTTTTTAATTTTTATTT